AGGACTGTTGGTAAATAATGGAGAGCATCTTGGCAAACTCTTTTGCCAGTTCCCTCATCACTCTGGGATGGATCCCATCCGGTCCCATAGACTTGTGAGGGTCCAAGCAGCTAAGCAGGTTACTAACCATTTCCTCTCGGATTTCAGGGGAGCTATTTGGCTTCCTATCTCTGTCTATCACCTCTAGAGGGCACTTGTACTGAGGACAACCTGTCCTACTATTAAAAACAGAGGCAAAGAAGGTGTTAAGTACCTCAGCCTTTTCCTCATCTTGGGTCACTATTCCCTCCCATGTCCAACAAGGAATGGAGGTTTTCCTTGCCCTTCCTTTTGCCATTGATGTATTTATAGAAACACTTTTTGCTATCCCTGACAGAAGTGGCCAGATTTAACTCAAATTGTGCCTTTGTCTCTAATTTTCTTCCTACATGACCTGACTATATTCCTGAACTCTACTTGAGTAGCCTGCCCTTTATTCCCATTTTTACTTTGTTTTGCCCAAATTTCTTTATTACTGCTATTAAGATTATATAAAAAAAAGTATTACAATAAGTTAGCATAGCTGACACAGAGCTAGAGGATCAATTTTCATTGTTCTTCAAATCTAAAAAATTTGAAATACTTCTCAGCTGACATCACCTGCACCATTTTTTATATTTGCTTATGAACAAATTTTGTAGATTAATCCACAGTTCTACATTGCTTCCTTCAAAAGCCAAGGGATGCACCTTAATACTGTCTGATGTTTTGGTTGGGATTTGTTGGGGTTTTTTGTTTTGTTTTGTTTTGTGTTGGGGTTGACTTTTTTGGTGTTTGTTTTGTTTTGGGAGTTTTGTTTGTTTTCGATTTGTTGTAGCTTGTCCCCTCCCTTATTTTGACAGCTTATATTTTCTGAATGCTGCTTAACTGTGTGTCCTGTAGAATTAGTTTTGTGAGAAGAGACATGCAGCCCTGTCATTTTAAAAAGTACCTGTTGGCATTGTTTGTATTGTGTATGGTAATGCTAGTAACAGAAAGTTCTGGAAAAGCATCCTTGCAAAATCTGTCATGAAATTGCCCTGTCTTTTGAGATAGTGAATTCTCTTCTGAATTACCAGCTTGAAATTTTCATTCTGTTCTTCTCAGAACTGCAGTTTTCTTCCCTTTTTCATTTTTCTCTAATTTCCTGTCCTTCAGCCATTCAGAGCCTCTTCAGTACTAAATGAAATTGAGTCCTTTGGTGAGAGTCTTTTGGAGGACCGGAGACAGAGCCAATTTTTGTAAAACCAAATTTAGGGGAAAACAAGGGGTTTTTACTCCCTTTTCTACTTGTTTCTCCTCTATGATTTTATTTTGTTTCTGACAGGCAGGCCTTTAAAGTAGCTAAAAGCTTCATTAGTAATAACTCAGTGCTAGGTCTTTTTTAGTTTATATCTGTTTCTTGATTAGAATTCTAGGTTAGCTGATATATTCAGCTCTAGTTAAACGTTTTGTTTTCAATTTTAGTTTCATTAGTGTTTACATGTGAAAGGTGTCCTTTTATGTTACGAAAGGGAAAATCTCACATTATGATAGGTATTGTCTTCTGGGCTCATCAGGATGATTAAAGGTCAGTTGTATCTCTTGACCTTGATATAGAAATGGAAAAAGTCAGGAGGAATGAAACTGTTAAAATAAAAAAGTGAGCATTGACCTTGCCTATTCCTGTTCTAATGAAAGCTCTCTGAAACTAGAAAATGTACGGCTTAGTTCATCCCTACAGATGGTGCCCAAGTGTGTGAGTAAGTGGAGATCTGAGACTTTAGAAATCCAAGGTAATGGAAAGCTCTAGTAATACTGTTGTTTCAGTCCCTAGAATGGCTTCCATATTGTCTGTCCATTACTCCTAAGCCTTCCAGTTTCTGGAGAGTTCATTAATTCTAACTTGACCACATGGAAAAAAAGAATCAATGTAGAAGGATGCAGCAGCACCCTAATTCAGCTACCTAGTGGCATTTATTTGGATGCTGTGCTCAGACAAATAAACTTGCCAGAACATGAGCCAACTTGTGACAATCTTATTTTAGGAGAACCTAAAATACATACCCTATGAGTGGCTTGGCAACTATATCAGGCAATTCCCTCAAGAGTCTCAGATGCATCTCATGAGGTCCCATACATGTGTATATTCAGGTTCCTCAGTTGGTTAGGAACCTGATGTTCTTTTGCAGTAGGAGGAACTTTACTTCCCCAGTCCCTGCTTTGTGGGGTTCATCCATGTGAGAAGTGTGGGAAGAGGGAGACTGCCAGTGAAGACTGGGGCAAAAAAATTGAGTACCTCAGCCGTCTCCTCATTTTACCAGTTTGCCAGTCATGTTCATCAGAAGGGTACATGTTCTTTAACCTTCCGTTTCGGGCTGACATACCTATGGAAGCTCTTAGTAGTCTTCATCTATGTCTCTTGCCAAGTTCAGGTTCAGCTGTGATTTGGCCCTCTGACACCATCCCTACATAAGTTAGGTACGTCCCTATACTCCTCCCAGGATACATGTTGCTACTTCCACTGTCAGATTCTGCTTTCATCGCCTTGGTAAGACTGGAGTTTGACTTCATTTTTTGCAAATGGATCTACTGCTCTGGTGTTCTGCTGGAACAAAGTGTTGTACAAGATCTGTGATTAGTGTGCAAACTATGTGGCTTCCTCTAACCTCTGCCCTTTGTAAATACAAAGAACAATGTAAACTTGCTATGCTTCATTTGCTGTTACTTTCTTTTTTTTATTTAATTGTGCTGTCATCTTGTTTGACAGGTAGATGGCACTATAGTTACAGAAATTCTTTTATGTGGTGAGTGCATTAATACCAAGATCACATGAGCTGCTGCTCTTCAAGAAAAAGCTATTCCTCCCTTTTGCCCGCATCCCCTGTGTTTTTGAGTTCTAACTCCCCCCAAAGCATGTAGCTTTATAATGTATGACTGCTTTAGCAACTCCTACCAGGACATTTTACAAATAGTGAAGGTCTGTGCCCATGTAATCTTTTTTCTGGTGGAAATTTAACTATAGTGTACTCTGTGTATTTAGTGTTAGAACTAAAATAGCTCCTGGAGATGCTCTTTATGAAAGTTTTCTGTTATTTTAAAAAGTATCCAACTTTGGAATACTTTTTTTCTGTTGGGTTCCTTACCACCTTGCTCTTTTGATCTGTATATGACCATAGTTGAAGCAAATATGCTTAATATCTTAATGGTGTACAATTCCTGTGATGCCATCTGTGCAAACTGAGTGTTCATCTGCTAAAAATTGTTGTTCTAGTGAATTCCAGGGGGTGATCGTGTGTCGTATACTGTATTAGGAAGGCTCTGGATAGATACAGATGCCTTAATTCTAGTGCATCGCTTTCTTGTATCAAGAAAATTAATGAAAAATACTGGAAACTGTATTCTGTATGATTGGACATCATGTATATATGAAAAAATGAATTTTGTGTAAATTTCAGGAAGGTATGTTTCTGTGACTGCATAAACCCGCCTTTTATTATACTACTTTTATTCCTTTTTAATCATGAATGTCTTTGTTGCCAGTCTGTAGAAGCTGCCTGGTGAAATACTTGGAGGAAAACAACACCTGTCCAACCTGTAGAATTGTTATACATCAGAGCCACCCTTTACAGTATATTGGGTAAGTATGGAAGCAAAAGTGCGAGTAGCTTCACTGTTGGCTTGTTCATCCCCTTTAATACAGCACAGCTTTATCCTAATTTTTTTTTTTCTTGCTTATCAGCGTGTTAAACATTTAAAAGGAAAATTGAAGGTGCTTGAAGTTTGGGGTGCTTTGATCCTGAGATACAGGATCAAAGTTTGCTATGAATTTGCAACTCCTTAACATGGCAGCTTCTTCCAGGCTTAAAAACAAACCAAGTAGGCACTTCACTGTTTAATTTCTGCGTGATTTTTAATGGAAAACACTAATTCCTGATTTTGTATCCTTGAGTTGTAAGAGTTACATGTATGAAACATTTTTAGAAATTACACTTTTACAAAATCCTCAATAATTAGTTTCAGTTGAACAGTGCTTGTCTGACATTAATGACAGAAATAATTATCAGCTTTATTGTTCAGTTAATCTTTCAGAGGTCTGATTAGGTCATAGGAACTGGTAAGAATATAATAAAATAATCATAGGATGATTTGGGTTGGAAGGGACCTTAGAGATCATCTAGTTCCAACACTGCCGTGGGCAGGAGCACCTTCTACTAGACCACTAGGTCTAGGGTTGTGAGCTTGCTGTGCACCCTCCTTGGTGCCCTAAGTAGTTTGAACTCCACCATTTCATGGTTACTGCAGCCAAGGTTGTCCTTGAGCTTCACATTCCTCACCAGACCGTCCTTGTTGGTGAGAACAAGGTCCAGCATAGCACCCTCCTTGTTGGCCTCCCTGTCACTTGGAGAAGGAAGTTACCATCAACGTATTCCAGGAACCTGGATTGCTTAAGCCACCAATATGTCAGCAAAAATAATAGGCCAGTGGCATTAATCTCTAGAGTGGACAATCTTGGGCTTTCTTCCTGTTCTGATTCCTACACAGAGTGTTTTTACTTTGTGATTGTCCTGGTTTTGTCTGGGATAGAGTTACTTTCTTCTCAGTAGTTGGTAGAGTGCTGTGTTTTGGATTCACAATGAGAACAATGATGATAACTTACTGATATTTTGGATTTTTGCTAAGTCGTGTTTATCGTAAGTCAAGGACTTTTCTTTTGTATCTTACGCTCTGCCAGTGAGAAGGTACCCGAAAGAAACTGGGAGGGAGCATAGCTGGGGCAAGTGACCCAAACTGGCCAAAGGGATATTCCACACTGTATAACGTCATGCCCAGTATATAAACTGGGGGGAGGTTATCCAGGACGGGAGGCAGATCTGGGTATGGCATCGGTCGGCGGGTGGTGAGCAATTGCGTTGTGTATCACTGGTTCAGTTTATTTTTATTTTCCCTATTCTCTTCCTTTTTATTATAATTGCTATTACTATTTAGCATTAGTATTGTATTTTGTTTGCAGTTATTGAACTGTTCTTATCTAAACCTGTAAGTTACTTTTGCTCTTTTCCCCATTCCACAGCAGTGGGGGTGGATGGGGAAGGGAGGGGGACAGAGAGAGAGAGGAGTGGGTGAGTGGCTGCGTGTTGCTCAGATGCTGGCTGGGATTAAACCATGACGGTGACCTAACATGAATGTGGTATTGTTCACCAGTTTCCTTTTTTTTTCACTAAGTACTTTTGTTGGGGTTTTTTCTGCATTTGTTTTCAGTAAAGACATTCTTTTCCTTCAGTGCTTTCCTTTCATTTTACTGCAGTGTAGTAACTTGCTGATAAAAATATGTTGTGACGTTGCATCTGCATTAGCTGTAACATAACAAGTAGTGTTTTGCCACCTTTATTAAGAGTTTGCTCTGGTTTGTGGCATTTTTTTCATGTGCCTTTCTCAGTTGTATAACAATTTGTGAAGCAATGCTTGTGTAAAATGAGTTTGATTTCTCTTTTACAGAAAACTGTCAATATTCTGTACACAGTTACATTGCTCAAGCTCATCCTCATTCAGGAGCCTGAAACTAGTTATGCTGTCTCTGCATGTGAAGAATAATAGTATATAGTGATAATGTGTTATGTGATACACTGATAATACGCTATGTGAGTGTATAATTAAAGGGACAAGTAGATGCAAATAGGGGAAAATGAATAAATTATATGTAAGACAACATGTTTTTCTTCTGTAATGCTACAGGAATACACCATTGCCTTGGTTCAAACACATGTTTTCTGTGCAAAAAGGAGTTAGGAAATGGCATCAAATTGAGAACACCTAGAAAGCAATTTATGGCTTGGTTTTTGTTGTTGAATACACTTCAAAGGAAGTAAACTGCTTGAACTAGTTGTACAATATTGCTTCTTCAAGGCTGAAACGGGCTTCGTCCAGCCTACTTTGGGATATTGTTTATCTTTTTAAATTAAGAACTGATAGAACTTTCACAAGGTGTCTTAAGATGTAGATTTTCACTCCTATTCATCTCCCTCTGTCTGGAAAATAGGTAAACAACACGTGTCTCATTTTTCACGTTTCTGAATGCTGTTAAATAGAATAATAAAATTATAAATTGGTTTAAATTGTAAGGGACCTTAAAGATCATCTGGTTCATCTAGGTCATGCCAATCATTTAGTTCCAACCCCCAAATTCTCACCTCTGATCTAATAGCTATATCTAATTTTGCTAGACTAAGTAGCTTAATTGCTAATTTGTCTAATGGACAAATAAGCAATTAAGATTGCTTATTTTTGTCAGAATATATTTGGAGATGTCCCGGCCTGTGTAAGTGGGATTGCTACTGGTTGAAATGACACGAATTTAGAATTAATGATATTTTGATTCTTCCTGTAGTGCTACTTAAAATATTGTGAATGTTGATTTCAGCATTGCAATTGTTGATTGATTTGCACCGTATCTATACTTGTTCATTGATCTCCACTGCTGTGAAGTGCTCATCTCGGGTTATTAGAAGCCTCAGACTACTCTTGTAAGCCTCTCTTCCATTTAAGTTGGATTGAGGATTTGATACTGCGAACTCTGTTGAGGTGATGACACTGCAGCAGTGTAGAACAGAATTTTGTCTTGGTGAGCTGGGTGTTAAAGTGTAGAATCTTAACTGGTCCTGCTGCTTTAGTTCCAGTGGAATTATTACCTTTATTGTAATTTGAGCCACACTACCTGTATAGGCTACTAAGGTGCATAATGTTTCTCACAGTTAAGTGTTGTCTTTTAAGAACAAAGTAAAATTTAATTGTTGTGTTCTTTTTCTGTGAACTGTTTTCTTGCATTTTAGGAGAAGTCTAGTAAAGATAGCTAATCTATAAATGTGAGAGATGAGTCTATAGGTGTGAGAAACATGCTATCCTTGGTTTTTGTGTAATAAAATGAGGTTTCCTCAAAGCTGTCAAAGAATGTTGAGATTATTAGTGACATACTTGCCTTAATGTGGGAGACTATATTCCATGGGGTGATTTCTTCCACATGTCCAAGACTATTCTTTCTCAAACTTCCATTTGGTTTCTGTCTTGGACTGTATTTTTATCATAATTTGTCTTATGTTAGTGTCCTGTCTGGTTTGATAGAAATACCAATTTGAGAAGTGAAATTCTTCTTAGGTGAATTTAAAGATTTTTATATATTTAGTACTGGAACTTTTTAAGGTGTAATGTTTTGAGTCAAGATGGTTGACTTAAGCTTTTGATTTTGCTTTTTTCTTGCTAGTCATGACAGAACAATGCAAGATATTGTTTACAAACTTGTGCCAGGCCTCCAAGAAGGTAAGTTGTGGTGTGACCTTTTGTAGAGGTCAGTTTGCGCATGCTTCTTGAAACTTTCTTCTTTTTTTGATGTTAAAGTGACGAAAAATGGTTGTGGGAACTTGAGGTAAAATTCAGTAGCAAACCATATTCTTTGATTTGTGTCATTTTTAGTGATTAATTTTATACCTGTGCTAGCAACAATTGAGTGTGGGGGTGGTGAGAGGCAAGACAAAGTATTTCTTTGAAATGCAGTGTTGTTAAAGCAGAATAGTCATTCAAGCATTTGAATGTTGGCATACTGTAACTCTAAATTGTTTTTGTTAAACTGTGTACTTAAACCTGCTGTGGGAGCGTTCTAGAATTCTCAGAGGTAAAATGCAACGCAGAAAAGCTTTTAGTTTCTGCTATTTTATGAGTCCTTTTTTATCAGGGAACATTGAATTTGTGTTTTCATAATCCTCCTTGACACTGGATCTGTTGAACTAAAGAAGTACTTCATAGCAATTGTTCAGTGATATTTGCCTTAATGCATGTTAAAACTTTCATTTAAATAGAGTATTTTAATCTATTCAAGCTGCAGAACCAGAACTTTTCAAGCATCAAATAGATTATTTAAAAATTATTTCTAGGATATTGAAAAACATAACTATAAATAAAAATCAAAAAGTGGTTTGTCTGAAATACTGTGGGGATATTAAAAACTAGTATTTTTAATACCGTCTCATTCTAGTAGAGATGCTGTAACAAGTAGCTATACAGATGCCTTTATAGTATTCTAGCTCTGAGAAATAAGGCATACAATAGCAGAGATAGAAGAGTAGTAAATAATGACACCACCACTACTTGTTGGCAAGCCTGTTTCACGCCAGAGGGAAGGGATTTGGAATAACTTCATAAATATTGCATTAGAACTTTATTACAGGGATTAATATTTGCAATTTTAAACAGCGGAAATGAAAAAGCAAAGGGAGTTTTATCACAAACTGGGCATGGAAGTTCCAGGGGACATCAAAGGGGAGACATGTTCTACAAAACAGCACCTAGATTCTCATCGAAATGGTAAATGGTCCTTTATTTATTCTGTCTTGGGTGGATGATGGCAAGTAAATTGAGGAACAGATGTGTTGGAGGTATGTGCCTAGTCAGTATATTACAGTCACAACTGTTTTATAACAGTACAGAATACAGTGAGCATAGGATTCTTGCTTTGTCTTATATTTGTGCACCAAGTCTTTGTCCTTAGCTGGTAATAGCACGTTACTTGTGGAAAGTAGGTCTCCATAGCAGTGCCTTCATGGAGACTCTGAAATTACCCAGCTTTTGGGCTGCTAGCAGTTGAACTGAAGGCTGTGCTCTGTTGGTATTCCCCTCTTTCATGTAACAGTTGCCTGCTTGTGTTGCCTAGGCTGATAAGCACAATTTGGGAAAAGCAAAGTTTGTTCCATATTGCAATCCTGAACTGCGCTGTTTTAATCGTATTAGCATTATAAACTACTGCTGGGTATGTCTGGGTTTTATATATAAAGGCAATATATGTATATAACACCCATGTATCTTTTTTTAAAAAAAATCTAAGGTGAAACTCAAACAGATGAAAATTTAAATAAAGAAACTTCAGAAGAAAAACAGGAAGAAGATAATGACTACCACCGAAGTGACGAACAGGTGAGCTCATAGCTCATAGGGCATGTTCTAGTTTTAGCTTGTATTTTAGCTGTAGTGCTTTGGAAAGACAACAGAGAGGAAAATAACTGTTTCAGCCTACTTTTTCTGTTCTCTGGCACAAACAAGATGCCATTTGTCCAACGCTTTTGTGTAGGCATGAGTTTTACCTTTGGGTTTTGGCAGGAATGGATAATACATTAAAGACGTTTGCACTAAGATTTGATAGTTCTGTTTGCTTATGAGTTTCCAAAGTATTTATTAGCTTTCAAAACAAATGCAGGTAATTTTCTGAAGGAGTGTAACCCAGTGTTACTGTGGTACATTGAGCTGAATGTGTATCGATAATTACGAATAAAGCCTTTTGCACTGTTGAGGAACACAGTGCAGGGACAGCTGCAGGTTGACCTCTGTGTGGGAGCCCCAGGCAAGAGGCCATGAACTTCTGTTCCTTGGCATAACAAAGGGCACAGAGACCTGTGGCCCAGCCAAGTGACCAGACACTGAGAAACACAGCAGGAGCCTATGTCCCCCAGAGGTAGACTGGGAGGGTATAAAAGCCGTGGCATTCCTTTGTTCAGGGTCCCTCCTCGGAGACATCAGCTTGAACTGTTGTTCAGTTATTGCACCAAGATTAAGTTATTTTTAGTATCAGGACATTTGAGACTCTGCTGTGGGAAACCTGAGGTTGAGCCAGTAAGGAAATGTAGTCTGACTGTATGTGTGGGGTGTATCACTGCAAAGGGGCTTTGATGCTTGCTCAGGTGGTGCAAAAGTGACTTCTGGATGATCAGACAGGGTAGTTTCCTCAACAGTATTTTTTTCTAACTTACTATCTATTTTGTTTGCAACCTCTAATACGAAGTCAGTGTTAGCCCTATACTATAAAATAGCATAAAACCCAGGAAGGCTGTTATTAAGTTTTAAACACAAAACTTCCTTGAAGGTGAAAACTCCTTTTGGGATAAACAAGCCACCTTTTTTATATTTTCTTATTATGTGTGTTCAGTAAGTTAAAGTTGGATTAATTTTCTTTTCATTTACCATGTAAGGGAAATTTCAAAGGGATTGTACCTACTACTAGATCCTCTTAGTGCACAATGTATATTATCACAAAGAGCTTAGCCTAAGTAATGAATAGTTGGATGGGAAAAGAAGTGAAAATTTCTAAATATTATCCCCCCTCTCTGGGAGGATATTTTTATAAGTTGAAAAATTTGTCATTTGTATCCATTCTTTTTAAAATTTACATTACCTTTTAAATATGTGTTAAAATTCTGTTCCAAACTGAATTTACAATTTGCATTAAAAGAAGTTTTGTTAGAAGCAATCATTAAAAACTGGTAATGGTTTTCTCACTGTTTATCTTTAATATGGTCCCACTGAGCTATTCACAGCCTATGAATTTGGACTGAAGCAGCCATGTTCCAACATTAAAAATTCATTGTTGAGCTTTTCTTTTGTCTAGATCAGTTTTGTTTGCAGTAGTGCTTATCACTAAACTTACAAGATACTAGAAAATGTTTTTTTAATTGGCATTTCAGTTTAAGGAATAGTAGTACTGCACTTCTTCACTTTGTTGGATTAATAAAAACTGCATATGGAATACATAATGAGGACTGCAGAAAATTGTTCCAGCCAGCTGTAACTGTTTGCTTTTTCCTGCAGGTGAGCATCTGCTTGGAGTGCAATAGCAGCAAATTGCGTGGATTGAAACGGAAGTGGATTCGTTGCTCAGCACAAGCAACAGTCTTGCATCTAAAGAAGTTCATTGCCAAAAAACTCAACCTTTCTTCTTTTAATGAGGTAATATTTTAATTTTAAAAAATTAATTTGCAAATATGCAAACTTTATGAAAAGGGTGTGTTTGTTCCTTTGCATAGGAATGTCTTTTAGTCTGATTTTCTTTTCAGAAAAAAAGCATACACTGCTGCTTGAATTGTATGTGATGTAACCATTTTCTTGTCCTTTCTAGGGTCTCCATAGGACTTGCCACTTATTTTGCAATGCATCTTGTCCTGTGCATCTATAGATAGTTAAGCTAAAAGGCTTGAGTATGTGCTTCCACATGCATTGAAGTGGACTCTATGTACCTTCATGCTTTCAGAGTTTGCACTCAGTGCAGGGGACAGGCAGTAACAAATACTAACACCACTTAAGCCCAGCTTAAGAGAAAGCACCACAAATACTTTTCTCCTTTCTAAGTTGTCTTCGCAAGGAATGCTTGGAATCATGGGAAGAATTTATGGTGAAAAGTGCAGAAAGAAAGGAGATTCTTCGCACTTCTCCTAGTTCAGAGTCAAAAATTAACAGTGGCAAACATGAATGCAGCCTCTGTTTACCACTTTGCTGGGTCTTGATCACACTCTCTAGACATCTCAGTTGACATATCTCAATTCCACAGTATGTCACTCTTTCACTGAACCTCATTAGGACTTTTCAGATAATCTGCTCCTGTTCAATGCGTCAGCACCTTTCTGCTCAAACTTGTCAACAGCCAATTTGTATCTCTATCACTTTTCCTTCGTGGCTTCTGTATACTTCAAACCAACACTCTGTCTTATGGTTGGAGTATGTCCCCAAACTCTGTTAGTCTTCCTGAGATAAATGGTATCTCCTGTCCTGCACTCAGCTGGCTTGGAAGTTGACTCCTGGCTGTAGCCCAGCAGCAGCATAGCTAGAATGATATTTCAAAAGGGTTTTTTTTGGTGTGTATGAATGTTGAAGCCCCACAATGCACTGTGCCAATCTCTGATTTAACAGCCTACTTGGCTTTTACTGAAGGAAAAAACTTTTGGGGATACTGTTCATTCCTTTGCTATCCCTTCCTACCTTTCTAAGAGTACATCATTCGTGGTATAACCATTGTACCAGTACCGTGCAATGAGTACGTAGTAGAAGGATTAAGCTTGTGGACTTGGTTGCTTAGTATAGACTAATGCATGTTTGAGTTATTGCCAGTTAGATAAGTCCTGTAAATGGACTGCATGCACATTCAGTCCTTTCTGGGCTCTGTGGTAAAGTGTTGTTGGTATAAGCCACCTCTGCAGAACTTAATGTTTTCATGCATGTTCCCTGTTTTTAGTTCATGTTCAGATATTGTATTTCAGCTGATTAGTAGTCATATATAATACTCATCCTCACTGTTTCCAATATCAAGACCTATCAAAACTGAGATAGAAAATTAAGAATACATACTGAGTATCTGCAAAAATATATGTATCTGAGTGAGGTGGCAGACAGGTTGTTCTGAAAAAGTGTATCCTTGTAACTGAATGCCACTTGACTCATCTGAGGTAAAAAAATTTCCATAGTATGTTAAGTAACAGTTGTATTTGAGATTTCTGTCTCCTTGCTCATTTTATTGAACCATTTTATAAGCACAGAAAGGTTTCAGGAAAGGGCATTACTACCTCTTGGGAAGATAAATCGAGCAGTTAAGTCCCATTCATGCAGTATTTCCTAGGCAGGCACAGACATGGTCTTTCAACACTTTATGTTAACAGCAGATGTTGTGTTTTCTTTCCTGTACTATTTTTATCTGCAGAGCAACTGCAAAATGAACCGTTCCAGTGTCTTCAGAGAAAAAGTATTGTCAAACATTTGTATTATCTGAAATATGTTTCATGTACTGTGTCCCAAGGAATTAACTGTTGCCTTTGTTTTGTCAGCTGGACATATTATGCAATGAAGAGATTCTTGGCAAGGACCACACGCTCAAGTTTGTAGTTGTTACTAGATGGAGATTTAAGGTATGACTCAGTGGTTCCAAGTAGATCATGAAATGGTCAAATAAAGTGCTTATAAAATAGGTCTAATTTAGAACTATACTGCAGTAACTGCAAACTTGATACAAAGAGACTTTTCTAAATATCTAATACAGCATTCTTAGACACCGGACATTAGTTTTGTTTCCAAGAAAATGAAGGAAAGGAGAATTAAGTATTAGTTACAAGGGAAAAGGGAACAGTAGATAACTGTCAAATTGTTACCAAGTCTGACAATGGAAGTGGAAACTACAAGAAAGTATTATTTTTGACCATTTTAGGTAAAACTGGTTTTAATCCACATAGGTGGGGAAATCAATGCAGAAAAGGCAGAAGTTTTCAGCATAGTGCTCTCCTGTAGCTCAAGAAGGCAATTTAATTTCTAAAGGACAAACAGTAATTGCAATGTTTGTCTATCCTAGGTAAAGGAACTTCTAGCAGCATTTAGTAGGCATAAGCAGGGGTGATTGTAAATGTTTTAACACATATTTGATTTGGTTACTGTTGCTTCTTAGAACAACGTCCTTGAAATTGAACAGTAAACAGTGGAACGCTCCTTCTGCACGTTAGTTATCATGTTAGTGGTAGTAACTGAGGTGAAACAGTAAGAATGAATGACAAACTTGAACACTTGAAAGGCAAGTCCACACAAAGCAGAGTCCTTGTATGTATATTTGGGGATAGCTGAACAAGAAGTTAGTGTGCGTAATGGAGAAGCAACACATTCCAAGCCTACCATGTACACTGAGGTAGAACCACTCACTGCCTTTGGATACTATCTGGAAGAGGTACAGGTGGGAGTAAAAAAGCATTTTGCTGTCTTGGAGTTGAAAAATAATTGACTTACGTAGGTGTCACAGGATAAAGTCAATGGTCAGAGTTAAAAATGCAGAGCTGTCACAAGTGGAAACGTACTGGAATCTGTTTTGTATGGTATTTCTCAATGACCTGGGGATAGACTTGGGTAGTGCAGTGACAGCATTGTGGTTATTTAAGTTCAGTGAACACAGATAGTTGAGGAAGTATTGGATGAAGCCTTTACAGTTCAGAGTGGCAGGTGATTAGTGAACGCCTTAAGTTCAATGTAGGTAAAGATAAAAAGATATAAAACAAATACTAGGGATTTGGAGAGGAGGGAAGAGAACCAAGCAGGAGCATCAAATTGATGTGCACCTGTACAGTCTATTCTTCACCTTTATCAGGGACATCTATGCAATCATAAGTCATATGGAAAAGAGACCTGTAAACTGTCTTCTCAAGTGAAAGAAGTAGGGAATGTAAAATAAAACTGTTTGCCTATTCATAAAAGAGCAATGGGTGCTTTCACAGAAGAGGAACCAATTGAGAACTGTTAAATGGGAAGTACCACATATTCTTTGGCTGCTTTCTAGACAAGTCCCTTACTGAGAATGAGTTTTCCAAGTTAAACAGATCTGCTCCCAGGACAAAAGAGAAAGGATTCTTTGTCTCTTGTTTGAGCCTCACAGATGAAATTGCATCTTGTTTTTTTTCTCGGTGAATTTTTGATAGATCAGATAGCTGTTCTGGTCTTTCATTGAAGCTTTAGTCTATGAAACTGAAGGTTTGCCTAGTTTTAACAGATTAGTTCTGAGTTTGTTTCTTAACTTACCTGACATTTCTGTCTTGCAGAAAGCACCTCTACTGCTACATTATAGACCCAAAATGGACTTGCTGTAAGAGAACTTTATTGTCCTTCTGGACAGAGTTTTTTGCAGAGACTATCATCTGGCACCTTCTTAGTGCATCACTAATCACATGACACAAACCAGCCGAATAATTTTGGAAGACTGGAGGGCTTTCATAGTGGACTGTCCTGAATATTTCTTCTAGGGATGTGTTACCTAGACTTCTGGGCAGAAAATATTTATACTTTTTTTGTACGGAAGAAAGAAGTCTCAACTCAACAAGACACTACCAGCATTAAGTTTACAGATACTGAAAACACTTCACAGTTCCATGTAGCTCAGCCTGATTTATCTCTTACAGTTACACAGAAATAAGTTAGAATGTTGTGGGGTGATTTAAATATGTTGCTTTTGACACCAAGTTGCATTTAGTTACTTTTCACGTTCTGAATCTTTAAAAACTATATTTTTGCAAAGTGTTATTGTCTTATATAGTATGCCTGATTGCATTGGCTTTATTCAAGTTATTATGTAGAGCATTGGACATACCTAATGATACAGTGACTGGTGATAATTTATTATGCTGCATTGAAAACTTCGGAAAATCTGGGAACCGAATGAATTTGTCAGTTTAGCCCAGTTGTTGCTCTCCCTCACTTTGTGTTTTAATAAAGTTTTGATACTCCCCTATAAGTGTTAATTTGGTAAGACTAATAGAAATATTTTCAGTTGATTTTCATGTGCTCTTATATTTTGCTGTGACATAAATTGCACCACCTAATGTCAAATACTCAAAAGTGGTAGATTTGTGAATTTTTAAAAAAATAAACATTTCTTTTGTAGTTGTGGCTTGCAGAAATCATATTTTAATTTAGAGAGAATTTGCTCTCACTACTAGTTATTGAAACAGTGTCTCTGACAACTTTGGGAGTATTTTCATTTCACTGATTAAAAATTCCTCAGATATTATGAACAGCTGCATATTTCTTTTAGCTGTTTTCTTATGAAACCATAGTATTTTCCTTACTGCAATTCCTAGCTTACTTAGGGCAGGAGAGAGGGGGAGTCAGATAAGATTATTTTAGCACCTTTTGGCCTTAACTGATAATTTTGCTTGCATCAGCCCTAATGGATGCAAGGTGATACACATGCATGTATGTATGGGTACATACATCTATATACACATAAAACTATATATGTTATAGAAAGCACCCTCAATAGCACTTAGCAGGGTTCACTGCACTTTTTGTAAGGCTTTTTGAAATAATTGGCTTTTTAAAATCAATAGCTGAAAGTGATTTCTGCAAGCTGTATACAGTGCGGCATATATAGTATGGTTGTGAGAATATTTGTCTGGCACAGGTGTCAAGTCACTGAAAACAGTCTATGCTGTATTATTGGCATCTGGAAATAGTTAACCTAATTTTCGGAAGAGTTTTCCAGGCAGCCGAAAATGCTAGTTGCTATTCCTATTGTTAAAACCAATTAGTTTTTGATAAATTTTCTTAGGATAAGGAAGCACATTTGTCTGTAACTTCCCTGCTTCCTCTAGCTGTGCTCCTTGCCCTCTTCTGCTAGAATGGGTTACTTGTTACTCAATAACCAGAAGCTGATACTCAAGAGATTTATCCAAGCATTTTAAACTTTCTTCCTCTTCTTGAGTTTTCAAAGCACCACGTTCCTCAGCATGTGTCCCATAATTTCCTTCTTTGGAGTCTTCAGCTCTCCTTTCCCAGCTCTGCCTCTGCAGAAGGGATGCCCCAAGTTGTGTTTACCATTGACAACAGAGTTCCTAATTTTTTATTGCAGTCACAGATGTGAATGGCAAGGAAATCAAAAAGTATCTCAGCAGTGAGTGAAAGGGAGCCCACTGCATTGTGGAGATGGAAAAGAGAGCCACAGAAAGGCCAAAACATGCTGCTGTCCTTGCAAGTGAAAGTGTAAGATAGCTGCATTTGAATGTTTGGCTTACACAGAACTCCAGATCCGGGTTTGTGTGTGCATGTGTATGAGCCGTGGCATTGAACTTGGCTCTGATTTTTGTCTTACTGTTTGTAGACTCAGATACATGTATTTTAGCTTTTGTTCTGTCTTTAACATTATTTGTACTGGCAGAAGAGAACAAATGACACCATGGGTCTACCATTTTTATAGACTTTTCATGAAACAGTGAATGCAGGGTAGTATGGATGTGTACACAGACTGACATACTGGTCCTTTCTGGAGCTGTTTATGTGGTTTTTATTGTTCTAGTGTAAATAAGGAGCTGGCTTAGCCACTGAGGCACTGAGAGTATGAACAGGACTGTTAAGTGTCCCCCACCCCGTGCATGCTGAGTATACACACAGTGGCTGTACCTGATGTAGACATAAAATTGAAGCTGCCAGACCGCATTCTGATTCACCACCTTAATTGAGAAAAATATATACATAAAAACAAATACA